ATTAATATTAGCTTTTACCCATTTAATTGCAAACAGTTGATCTTTTAAACCCATATTGCCAGGACATTCATCAATATCAAAGTTGAGAAATCCTATACACAAAATCTACAAGTTATTTTTTTTATTATAAATTAATAATATAATATTTTATAGGTAATAAGTTACAAAAAAAGAATAACATTAATTTTCGAATTAAATTACCAAGAGCATTCAAACGATAGTTGATTGTAACTATGATAACATTTTCATCAATCAAATAATCAGGAGAGTAAAACTCTGATGAAGCTGATCCATTATTAAATGCGCCACCGTGTATAAATAACATAACTGCCTTTTTTTCTTTTAGTTCTTCCTAGGAAGATGGCAAATCACAAAAATAAAATAAAATTGATATCATATTCTAATGGAATTAATAAATCATTGTTTCCTAATACTTGTGGGACATATATGTTTAAATATAAACAATCTTCACTTCCAGAAATTTTGTTCTTTATGAAAGAATACTGCATACACATTTTCCCCACTGAAAATGCTTTTAGTATGCCAGACCATCCTGGATGTTTGACGGGAGGCTGTAAAATRCAAACCATTAACAGTCTGCCGGGTCACATGAAAACAATCACTTAAAGTTTATCTTTTTCTAATCAAAAATTTTGTGATAGTCCAAACTAAGCATGATTTGATGGCCCTTGATTGATCCTTTAAATTTTATTGAACCAATAAATAAATACATTTTTTATGCAACCTGGCCTTAACCATATAAATAATTAATATAATATTTTCAAACTCAAAATATCAACGTTATATAACATTTGATTTACCTATTTGTTTTTAATTATATTTTATAAACTATAAATACAATACCATGCAATGCATCTAAAAACCTTTGTTGTTAAAACCTTAAGAAACTTTWAAAAAAAAATACTACACATGTATTATATACTTCTATACTTAAAAATCAAGCAATAATGGCCCACCTTAAATCTCAAGTTCCCAACAGGTGGTTTAGCATAGGGTATGCCTAAAAAACTGACGTAAGGCTTATTTGACGCTTGTGTTTTGTAGTGAATTCCTTGCAAACTACCTTGCTCAATAATAACWGTCATTGTCTTTGGTGGCTAGAAAATATAATTTTATACCTATTAACACTTTATAGTTAACAAACATTTTTTATAACTTATAATTTAAATGTATCTATTGAAAGACTATGTAGAAAAGATAGCAATTTTATTATTTAAACAATCAAAAATTACACTGTATTTGATTACTGTAAATCATAAAATGTAAATTATAAATATTATTGGTATTATTGTTTAAGAGTTATCTTCTCCAGCTTTAGCAAGAAAAATGACAAGTATGACTGCTGTATTGTCATCATTACAATGCGCAAATTTAAAACGTTTGGCATGGTATTCGGAGGATTATCTACGCAAGACCATACCTTCAGGTATCTTACGACAGTGTTGGACAAAAATCCTTTGAACTTGTTGCACATGATAGTTGCAATGAAACGCCATTTGATGAAAGTCCGCCAAAGCTTTGACATAGTCAAATCAAAATGATTTCTTGTCTGAAGTAGTACAATATTATGGTAAGTGTAAAATTCTTAAACAACTTATCTGAATAATTATATCCTATAATATAGTCGGAAAGACCTCTCAAGCTCAAATGTTCCACAATGGTGCTCAGTAAAGTCACGCTTTGTATGGTTTTAATTTAACATTTCACTGTTTCAAGTGTTGACGCACAAAACAATGAATTCGTGTATAATATTTTTTATGAATGAGAAGAAACACCAATGTTCGATAACAGAACATGACTGAGAATGATTGTGCTATATATTATTCTTTTTCTATGGTGGTACAGAATGAATAATTTAAAGAAAATTGAATAATTTTTCATAATAATTCATCCTGCGCTCTCGGCCCACGACTGACGAGTGACGACTGAAGCCAAGTGCGCGGTGCACGTCCTGTTATCGTCATTCGCCGGCCATCGACCGATTTCAATCCGTCATAACTTGTGAGTGGTGATATCACATTGTTTGTGGTAAGGGTGGTCAGTCCACGGTTTTATCCGATACATACTCAATCCGTTGGCCGACAGAGTGTCTGAACGTGATTTTTTCGCTTAGAAAGTTAGAAGTGAGAAGAAGACAGTGTACGCGACGAGTTTTCGTATATTATTATTATTATTATATCTTATTCCGATAATTTTTATTATTATTTTTTTTTTTTTTTGTCGAAAAGAGAAATACTTATAACATTTCACAAATTCTATTTTTAAACCATTAAATATATTATTGAATTTGGCCAATTTTCACAAGGTTTTTGTTTTTTTTTGTTCGTTTTAAGACTTTAAGTAACAAAATTTAAAAATCAAAGTTCTGTATGCGTCTTGTAGAAAATGATCCTCTTTCTAACGAAACATTTTTTATCAAATCAGTGAGAGTTATACCTGTAAGCACAGACCTATTAAGAGGTCTATGCCTGTAAGACGTRTTTTGATAAAAAAAAATCACGCTTTTCATTTTTGGTCGGCGGAGTTGTTGACATTTGAACGATTGCGTAGAATGTATAATAGAGATAGCTCGGTATCCGTATTCAATTACACTATAAACACTAATCACTAATCAATAATCAATAATCATCATTGACGACTAACAATGCTGTAGTCAGTAGCAGTGAAATTGCATATTGCCTAAATATTACCCAAAATGAATAACAAAAATGAA